GCAGTACACTGCCCTTAATTGAGTTTGCCTTTATCCTCAATGCATACCAAAAACACAATTTGCTTCCCCTCTGATTGGCACCTACGTCAAACACTTGGCATCAAATTGCGTTTAAGCGACTGTGTTAACACCACCTCTTAAATTGAGTCGCTCAAAGATGTCACCGTCAACTAAAGACTACTACAGTAGCAATCGATGCCGCATTTGACCCTCTGCGAGTTGGCAGGTAGCCGTCTTCTTTTCCTAACCTCAAAGGCAGCTTCTACCAGCTCTCGCATACCTGTCACTGCCATTCCACTCGCGACTGTAGCATCCGACTTATAGCAGAATGCATCAATCATTATGCTGGAAATAAGTGTAACTCCCACAGCGTCGTTAAACGTCAAAATAGTTTATAAGACCACGAACCATTTGCGCGAGGCCAATGTGAGGTAAGCTGGCATCTTGGATGTGTGTGGTAAATTTAACCAATCACGATCTGCTATTGGACTATCATTACGACAATCAGCAATGCTGTTTTAACCACCGATAATAGGCGGTGGGTTCATGCAATCGGATGAGTGAAAGCACATGCAAGCAACAGGCCCGATGGACTGTCACCTTTTTCCTCTAAGACTCGCATTTCACCTCGTCAAGTGTGCGTAATCTCTGCACGTGTGATGACCCCATACGGAGATAACAATGGCCTCCATTCTGCTTTAGCACCAAATAATAAGCGACACACACTATGGAGATGAATTTGGTAGCATAGTTCAATTTCTGTTGCAATTTTGGGTGCGGATAGTTAAAGCAACGCCTATAGCTATCAAAATGGGCCAGTTTCAAATATCGCATCTGAAATTTGAATTTTTCTAACTACTGAAGTGTTCAAAATCGGTCATGGTATTCTCATGGTGCATTATTGAATTTCAGTAAATTTAGGCGCATTGTAGTGCATTCCCGTGTAGAATCCTCAGATCTCAACAAAGCCTTGGCTTAAATATTGGTGCAAAACGGCGAAGCCGCAAGCCTCAGAATTCAAAGCTAAAGTCATGCTCATTTATGCGCATTTACTTATAAGGCTTCCTTGCGGTAGCCCAAAATTGGTAACTAATTTCCATGTGTCTGTATGGACAAGCTGAAGGGTAAATCCGCATGATGTCATTTTCCCGGCATTGAAGTAAGCCAAGTCAAATGAAAAGGCTGACAAATGCATGGAAAATGTAATCTTTCATTCCATTTTTATTGACACAAATGTCAACTTCGTGTCAACGAAAGAGGCGAGGTCGATCCTGAATATGTCGTTGACATGGAGGCCTGAAAAAGGCTCCGCATTTCCTTGGTTGAGGCTGAAAGGCAAACACATTTATGGTACTTGTGATGTCATTTGACAGACTTCGCCAAACCGCGGCAGTCTAAATTGTAGGTAGTCACTAAGTCCAAATAACAACATTATATTCCAATATCTGCCTGTGCTCCCTTTGTTTACTTAAAATTGGCAGTTTATCAGGCTTACCACAAATGCTGACCACGCGTCCAGAAGACCAATGGGCGAATCGCAGCTGAATTAGTGTTATTCATTTATACTATAACAACTCAAGGCCTTCTATCATCAACATAAACCTTTACGTACTTCAAAACATTTACATTGATGTGTCGAAACAAACCATCGCACCAGAGTGATAAGGGAATGAATAGAACGGCCTGTGAGGCATTTGAAGTACACTGTGGCGACAGCAAATAAGACCGTGGTAAGAGTGATTGATTTAATTACCAACAAGTTTGTTCTTATGTGTTATTTTGCAGACCTGTGGTATTTCACTCAACACAGATGTTACCAGTATTTTTACCTCAAGCTTAAAGCTGACAATTCTACTTAAAACCTTGGACCTCCACCGTTGAGACCCGCTGCTTTCATTCACGCTGAGTATTTAGTATGCTTCAATATGTCTGAGGGCGCAGACAATTTGGACTACGCTGGACTCAGCCAATCCTGTATCTCTCTGCGTTCCAATATCATTCGAGGAAGATAAGCACGAACGAGGTGTAGTATATAATGAGTGGCATCGCCAGCGTGGTGGACTCGGATGGAAGGCGCCTGACATGTGGTTCTGGCTTGTGATTAATCAATAGAGCCTGTTCTGTTGTACCAGTCTTATTCCTTATAGGGTTCGTGTATTCTACATTGGTGGCAGCGGATGCGTTCGAGTACAGCAAATCGAACTTCAGCCCTTTCCTTAAAATAGTCTACAGAAGCAAAAACCCTTTAATGCCATCTAAATCCATACACTGAATCCATAGACATTGCCTAGGATTAGGACTACTGTATCTGAAGAGGCATTGGCAATTCAGCGACGAAGACATGGACAGTAGAAGCCAGCTGGACTGCACCTGCGAGGTAACCTATGATAGATGAAGCGGCCTTCATGCAAGTCTACAAGGGCAGATGCTCTCGTCAACTATTCGTGTGAGCCAAAAGCTTGCCAAATGTGTTTCTCTGCGTTCCAGTGGCATGCGAGGAAGATAAGCAGCCCACCAGAGAAGGATACGAATTAGGTGAGAGGCGTGGAGAGCGTGGTGAACTCGGATGGAAAGTGCCTGACGTGTGGTTATGGCTTGTGATTGGTCAATAGAGCCTGTTCTATTGTACCGGGCTTCTTCCTATTATGGCTCGGGTATTCTACACCACATACACAGGCCCCATTCACACAAGAACAACTCCAAATCACAATACATTGGTCAGCTTAGAATGCTGTTTGGCTACCCTCCGTCAAGTTGCGCCTAAAATTTCATGGTTGCCACGTGGACTGTTGCAAACAGTTGCATTAATTACACGCGAATGAACTGAAATGCTTAAGCACTTTCTAAAATGTCGATTTCATTAATGTCAGCTTTGACGCCATTGATCCATCATGTTGTAATCAATCTGACTGATAGTCAGCGTGGAATTCACTGGCAGATATGTGTGGCACACTCTGCAGTAGCACCACACGATCTGTTTCAAGGTTGCAGGCATCTCAAACGTACTCGGCAAGTACATTTTGTCTGCGCTCTTGACCTCATAATTGAGCCGAGAGTTTTCACATGACTGCCTCCTACAGAAATTACCCTTATTAAGCACCATATCTTGAGCATTTGTACGTCACTGTCTGCAATATCAAGCAACTGCGTTAACGTCGTAACGTGACTGCAAATGGGAAGTGTGCCATCGTCAATCAGACCGCAATTTGACGCAAATTCTAAGCGTCTGAAACGTCTTTGACGTCGGCACATTCCCTCCAGTTATCGTGCAAGCCCTAACAGCAATCGTTTTATTCCTTCATACTTAATCCACCACTGGTAAATCGTCTCAAAACTGTCGCATTATACACTGCAAATGCTATTCGCACGACCATGTAGAAAGTAAGTGCAGGCGTGTCTTCTCCACCAAATTTCACATCTGCATTGGAACACATTGCAACTCAACGAATAGCAATTGTGACCTGAATAGTCGAGCGCTAGTCGATGTAACTGCATGAGTGGTTTTTAGTTTAAAAGATCACAGGAAGGTTTCGAGTAATCTGATGAATGTCAATGTGAACCACCAGCATGAAGTTCAAGTCCGTGTCAATCTGGAGATCGACTGCGTCGGGAAATTGTTGACGAAAATGCAAACAGTATTGCTGAGTTGAAGACATGGACTTGGCCGATGTCTTGTACCAATTCCGTCGCGAACACAACAAATGGTTGAGGACTTTTATGTTCGATGACATATAAGTTAAAATACAGCGTTCCCGCAGCTGTCACTAATGTGAACATAATACAAATTCATTGTCGACGTGTGCATCGTAAAAAGAACTGAAAACCTAGAAAGTGTTTGCATTTGACGATGTTCTTTTAATTAATGAATAAATAGTTTGCAGTGCATTCAGAGGCAAGTTGGAATGAATGCATTACACGAACCTTGGAAATCAAATTTTACACTACAACTGTGTTAAGGCTATTTGTGAGATGATCGAACACATAATTTGCACAAAATCCATCATCGGTCACTCGGTATACTCCATGCACCTTTTCGTCAGCCTCTACGACGTCACTTACGGCGCATTTCTCATCTCGAAAGGTGCCGAACCACTTATTAGTCATGATTTTCTCATGATGTCATGTGTAAGTGGAATCATTGTGGAGGCCTGGTGATTTGTCAGCGTCCATCAACTTGTCTTCCAATTTTGTGGATTTTTTTTCAATGCACTCGAGGCTGCCTTTACATTTTGCTTATCGAAGTTAAATTGAAGAATTTGAAGTCTTCTATTAATACAATCCATCAATCTTCGAGCAATACACTGAGACGGGACTTTGAAAGTACAACAATTGGTTATACCGCCAGTGTGTGGAATTGAGTGCTTAGCTATCACTCACCACAGCAACCATCGCCATATCTTCATTTATGCATCCTCCTTTCTGATTGGCTTGATTCAAATAGTTATAAATGCGGTAACTGCAAACCCTGTCATTTATTCCCACCTACTCATATTAATGCAAAAATGTACTCACGTGCTTGTGTAGTTGAATTCATGTGTGAAGTCTTGTAATTTCAAATGACTCAAAGTTCAAAATATCGCTTGATATTCTACGCCGGTAAGTTTTCAGACTGTTTGTCATAGTTGCGGAAACGCTACATTTACACTGAATCAAATCGCGCTACTGACCACGTGTTCTGTGTCCCTTAATGTTGTAGCACAAATTAGCATGAACATGGGCACCGTTGATTCATAATACCAATGACAAAGCCTAGACAGCAAATGTTCCCTCCATTTCTTTAGGCCTTTACCAACTCAACTGTTGCAAAACGCATATTTGAGCATTGATTAGTTAACCTAAATTGATGGTCAGCATAGTCGAACTCCCTACTTCCGAGAAGGTTTGAATTTTTGCACAAGCAACGGTATTGGCAGATGGATGACTTCATATAACTTTCAACCTACACATACAACCGCTTCTTCGTGGTACTAAGGTCACATTTAGCGTCCTTCTAGCATTCATTAGTTTCATTTACTCTTCTTACGAATTTGACATTTACTGCGTTTGATTTCACGTGTATCTTATCCAAATCTATATTCTCACACCTAAAACAATGGAATTTTTGTACTTAACCTGTATGGCTCCATTTGGTAGCAAGATATCTTTTATCTTATTTTAAGGATATCTGACACTTATCAGATGTCTACGTCGACAAAGCGGAATTTGCATTTTTATCGCTCTAACTATACTTGGAGCAATGCTGTTTACCTTCAAGCATTACCCCGAAAGTGATACTTCATTTTCACTCACAGGCTTTTCGTTAAAATCGGCAAAGTTCTTTGCCAAAATCAACTCTCCCGATCACCCACACTGTCTCCATTTCCGGGAGCGCTTTGCCATCTCCGTCGACCCCCACATTGACATGGATATAGCTTACACACTGGTGGTTCATAAGGACGTTGGTCAGATTGCTCGACTCCTTCGCATGATTTACAGACAAAATAACTACTACTGCATTCATGCTGACAGGCGTTCATACTGCTTATGCATAGAGACCCTGCGTGGTGTGGCGACGTGTTTTGGTTCCAACGTGGAATTAGTTCCATATGAAGAGCGCGTGGCAGTACATTGGCGTGACGAATCAGTCCTTGTGACCCAAATTACATGTGCCAAACAGGCGTTGAGGAGTCATGCTACGTGGAAGTACCTGTTGAATTTGGTTGGACAGGATTTCCCACTGCGAACGAACATGGAATTGGTTGCTGCACTGAAAGCACTCAATGGATCCAATCTCGTTGAATCTGTCGAACTGGGCAGATTTGCGTGGTGGAAAAATAAAAAGACGCTGCCATTAGTGGTAATTTGTCATTTAATACGGTTATCGTGTTATCTTCTTTCTGTGAAGCGGCACTGCTTTATATCGAATGGCCAATCAGTAAGTAAAAAATCGTCAAATAAACGCATACCACTGACAAATACGCCACGTTGTGTTGTGGCAAATTGTTATATTGATACCGCAAACAGCTGCCAGTCATATGGTCAATTTACTCAAGCAAATTCTGCAAATTGTTTTAAATATGTAGCCAAAACCATCGTCTAAATATTTCAACAAAAATACTGTTCAGATGAAAGACCATCATTCAAGAAACTCAAATCTCGAAGTTAACTCCTGACGTAGGCAACATGGTACAAGGGCTCAGTGTATGGTGCCTTCCGAAGGGAATTTCTGCATGAAGCAGTCATGGGAACAGCTGTCGGTCCCATTCGTGACCTCATGCTCAAGCCAAGGAACATAATGCATCCAGACGAATTCTATTTCCCCACTCTCGCTTACAACAGCAAACTCCGCCTGCCTGGGGCCTGTGTCAACAGCCCATCACCCGAATCGGAAGTGGGCTACAACTACTTGGCCAAGTTTGTCATTTGGGGAGGCTACAGTATGACTTGTACTACTAAATACGTCAGAGGTGTCTGCATTCTTGGAACGGATCATGTGGCGTTGTTGCAGAATGTACCACACATATCTGCCAACAAGTTCCACGCTGACTATCAACCGGAGGCATACGATGAGATGGAGCAATGGTATTTTCGACGCGTCGCAGCGGAAATAAAGTCAGGCTCGTATAACAGAAGCTCATTCGATCCGACCATGTATTCCAATTTGTCATGCTCTCAAAACCATGTTTAGTATTTTTTTATATTTTCATTTTCATTAAAAGTAACTAATTTGATAGAAATCGACCTATTTGATTATTTATTATTCATTGTGAATTCTCTTAGGCAGACTGCACACGGCACACTGGCGTGTCGTTTATTTCGACACCGCCTGATTTAAATGAGTTCAGACAAGCTGTTTAGTTTGGCGTTAGGAAGAATGCATGTCACTCGTGGTGGGGTGCACCATAGCCTTTAACAGGAGTTTTAGTGTTGATTGGTGCAGAGTGGTAGTGTTGTGGTCTCTAATACATTTTGTCAGATGAACATTGGATAGTGAACGACTTGAATTTCTCGTTTGATCCATTTGCCTGTCTCTGGTTGTTAGGACTAAAGCCGTTGATTTGAACATGCTTGAAATAATTTGCTCTCAGCATTTTTGTTGACAGGGCTAGTTGTTCCACACATAGAATTCCATTCGCTGATATTTATGACAAGCGAAATAGTGGTCCCCTTGCCACAGTTTTCAATCATCAAGGCGTTTTCCAAACCAGCACTCGTAATCTTGATTCTGAGCTGCAATGATATTGGCTCTGTGGCGTGAGTGGCTACAAGAGTACAACCACTCCAAATGTCAGTTGATAATCCAGCACGAAAAGTGCAGTTTTGGGTTTGGTTTCATACCTGGCGTCGTTAAGTCACTAGAAACGAGGCGACGCTATTGGCTAACGTGCCTGTCTCACAGCAGGCAAGTAGTTTTTATTCAAAAGCCTACATTATTCCGTGATGCAATCTACCACTACGTTTATAACCAAATGCCATCAATATGAACCTGACCAGATATTTTAAACACAGACGCCATCAAATTGAATTTATACAAAGATTCAATTTTCCTTTATTAAGAGGATAAAATTTTCCTGTAGCTTATTTTATCCTCTTACATTTATCGACTCTGCCCAAGAAATAATTACACTTTCCGACGTCAGTCGACACGCCTATTTGTCTCATCACAGGCCAATTTGCTTAAGGTAAATCTCACCCAATCAATCTGTCCTTTTCTCTAATTCCTGCACAGGCGTTAGTGTCTGTGGATTCAGCACTAACCTGTTGAATGTAAATCGTTAATTTATAAATATATACATTAAGATCCACCATGACTACGATCGTGGAGGAGGAAGGTAGACAGTAGCGAGTGACCTACGAAGATTTCGTGCAAATTATGTGATTCATCATCTCACAAATAGCTTTAATCCAGTTTTGGTGGAAATGCGATTTTCAAGTTTCATTAAATGGATTCAACTCAGCAACACTGCTTGCGACTTCGTCTACATTTTCCCGGCGCAGTCAATCTTCAGATTGACACGGACTTGAACTTCATGCTGGTGCTTCACGGTGACATTCATCAGATTACTAAAAACCTTCCAGTGATCTGTCGAATTAACAGCCACTTATGCAGTCACATTGACTAGCGCTCAGGCATTCAGTTCGCATTCGCTATTCGTGGAGTGGCAACGGGTTTCGATGCAATTGTGGAATTACCTGGGGAAGTCACGCCTGCACTTACTTTCTACAAGGTCGCGCGAAAAGCATTTACGAAGTACAATGTGACCTTCTTGAGACAATT